AAAATTAAGGATTTGCTTAATTTCCGTAACCAATAATAAATATTAATAAAAGGGTTCAGATAAAGTATCCGCCGTTTTTTAAAGAGGACTTTTCAAATCTAAAAGTAGACGCGTTAACAGAAACGACGACGCTATGCAACTGTATAAAAACCATAAAAGTTTAAAATGTTATTTTCATCCGAACTGGTACTACTTATGGCTGTTTCAGTAATACTTGACTAACTGTTTGATCGATAAAATTGAATGGCAAAATCGACTGGAAAACGATATTTAAAAATACTAATGGTGTCATCCCACGATTAGTTGACAATTAACATTGGCGAAATTAATGGATTTCGAAGGCGTAATAAATATCAAAAAGCGGAAAAATCGGCCTAATTTTTCTTACTACAGCGAGGATAATTTTATTGCAAGAATAGAACAGAATATGTTGAATTTTTGCGGTAAACGTTGAGTTTCTATGTACGCCGAGCAAAATGGAAACTCGGAGTAAACTGGTAAGCTGATTGAAATAATTTATTGAGAGACAGGCAAACATTTTCTTACGAGAGTACTGTTTATTTTCGTAAAACCAGGTTTGTTTTCTGGAAATGGATGAATTTAATTAAACTCCGTTTAAAGTCAACGCGACGTCGGTATGGTCTAAACAAATTCTGAATTCTGACTGCGTCGTCGCTTCCTTACAGTTTCGAGCTAACCTTTATACTTAGGTTAATTACATTTTTTGTACCAAATTTTCCACGCTGCAGTTTTGTTTCTTATTGAAGTTGCTAACAATTTCTAGAGGACCGGGGAAATGCCTTCTGAAAACTCATAAATGGAGTGAAGAACACGCGAATGTTGGTACTTGTGGAATAATTGACCCCAGTAAAATAATGCATTTGGCTTGAGTTATGTTCTCGGAATAAGATGCATTAAACCAGTAGTGACCATTAAGAGAAATAGGATGTTCTGTTGTTTATTGGCACTTAAAGTGGTACCTAGCGTTTCCAATTCGACCACTCAGGAATCCGGTCGTTGTGCTCCTATATCTGGAAAGAGCTCACAATGGGAATTGCTCGAAGGTTCCTAAATGGAACGAAACGCACCGCATGGTTACAAAGCAGAACCGACTGCTCTTCGAAAACTTGGCCATAATTAGCTCTTATCACTCCAAGAATATTAGAGTATCAGAAGTTGGCAGCATTACTGCCGGTTGGAGTGATAAGGATTAAATCTGCCACAGTCGGTCCTTCCCAATACAATTGAAATTTATTATGAAAGAATCATTCAGTACAATGTCTGCCACCAAAGTAGGCAAACTCACTTGTGCCGTGGAATTTATTGATCCCGCGTTAATCGTTTCCTATTCTCTTAGTACGGCGTTAATTTGCTAATTATAAATTAACAGAACGCAGAGCTCGCCAGTTGTGTGCAATGAACCATGGATTTCATCGATTCATGCACGAATAAATACAACGCGAATTTTAAAGGATTTAGATTTAATTCGAATTTTATTCTTTTCTATTCTATTTTAAGAAATTAATTGGCGAGAGCTGAAGCTCTTTTATGAAAATTAATATTGGACATTTTGGGGAATTGGTATTCAACATTCATTGAACATTCGTTTTCTTTTCTATGTACCTACATTCCGAACATTTTGTCTCAGCTTGGATATACTGGAATGTGAAAAATGGAGTACAGCTAGGTCGTATGGGATTAGCATATTGCAATACTTGCATGTTATTACATTTTTTTTTAGTCATTCAACGAGTTACGTTGATGTAATATGAATGTAATGTGATCTCCCAAGGTATGCATTATTAAAAAGATTACACCCTATGTACTTGCATTTAAACTTTAAAGTGTCCCAGTAAAGTTTCAGGATTATACGTGCAAGGTAATTACAATTTGTCATTCTAGACCAGCTTTTAGGAAAAGACAAATCCTTTTATTAATGTATTTTATTTCTATTACTATAATCGTCCAGATCGTAGTACTTTAATTATTCGATATGCATTTAGATAACTGTGCTTGGCATTCGATTTATTCAGATACCAGAAAACTACCAGTAATTCCAAATTTAATTAAAAATAGTCACGTATCTCCAAAACGAGAAAAAAACTAGCAATTTTCTGGGAATCATTTTACCTCAACTTTTACATCGTAAAAGCCATCATTACCCTGCACAACAGATGGCAAAGTAAATTAAAAATAATTATTTCAGGTAAAACACAAAACTTGAGCACCACTTTGACTAAAACAACACATCTTGTTTAGTTAATATTATGTGTGATAATACCAATTTTAATTTCCTGTGCATTTCTCCGTCAACTTTTTGTTGGTTAACCCTTTGCGGACGAGACTTTTCCATTATAAAGGCTTTCGGGCGACTGAGAGTCGCCTCTCGTCCGCAAAGGGTTAATATTATTAAAAGTAATGACCTTCGATGCTTTAATACGGAAATTAATCCAGGCAAGTTCAATGTCACAGGATTTTCCGAGGTTGGTGTAGGTCGCCAATTTGTCGTGCAGCATTTCGAAATCAGAGATGGACAGCGTTATAAGCTTTGGAAACGAGCGTAATCTGCAAGTGACCTTACCGATCTCTGTACAGAGCACGTTGAAAGCGCAATGCGAGAACCACATTTGCAGAGTTCGGCTTACGGAAAGCCACAGAGTGAAGCCGATTAAATATTCCTCGAGGCGCAAACCTTGTGAAATCGCAATTCAGTTTTCGCGGCTTTTCAATGCGGGATAATATTTTCCCGCTTTTATCTCAATATATATACCCTCGAAACGCAGCGAATTGCTTCGCTACATGGCCTACTTTATTTCCGTTTGCAGGAGATTGTTCAACTGTTCAAAGGCCGGAGGGCGAGGCCAATTAAAAATTTCGCGTGTTCGTAGGAATGATTAAAAGCGCACTTCGATTTAGAGACGTCAACAGTAACTTTACGAATATTGAGATTTTACCATTAAAATTTTGATTTCATTTCAAAATGAGACAATCTCTCCGAATACTGCAAATTCCGCTTGGAATTAATTTTAACTCAATTTATATTCAATTTGGCGTCTCTGGTTTAATGAAGGTAAAATTCCAATATCAAACAGAATTTTCCAAGCTGGGATTTAATATATTGCATGTATTCTGAATATAACTTTAAAAAGTGGCAAAGTCCTCGCTTCGTTAGAATATTTTATTCTAATTTTTATAATACAAATTTAACTTTTAAGTATCAGAGTGTTAAGCCAAGCAACAATTAGATGCAGCATTTATGCATATTAAATTGCACTTCATCGGTTAAAGTAGCACTTTTTGCAACTTCTTCTTCTTTGTGTGTCGTTTCTCTATTTAATGTTATAATGTTATGAATCTTTTGGGTAAAAATTTTCTTGTTTCCGCAGTACCGTTGAAACGTGGAAAATGATATAACCTCCGACATCGGTCGCAATCAGAAGATGATCTCTATATCGACGACATAGCGAAAACCGTAAAACGAAAATCTCGTTTCCCATGTCTCTGAGTGAACTCTGAAAGAGGTCAGAGATGTCAAAATAGATTATCTATATACTGCTATACGCGCTGCAACGAGAGCACTATTTCAATGTGTTCACATAAAATGAAGCAGAACAGTGAAATAGACTTTTCATTCGTATGATTACATCAAATTGGAATTTTTAAGGTGTGATTCAGACTTACCCTAATGACAAAATTATACTTTTTTGGTCTTGATACAATACCCGATTTATTACGCAATTACCCCTGATATTCATAATTAAAAAAACAGAGTGAACGAAACCTCAGGATAGTCCTATTCAAGTCCCATTTCTTTTTTTGTATAAAGACCCGTTATACTTCCTGCGACAGTGATAAACCATTTTTACAATAAGCATAAAAAAGGAGCGTACTTAAAATCATTGCAGGGGTATTTAGGTATAACAAACGACTCTTAATGGAGTATTACTAGATTTGTTTAATTCCTCTTTAATCATGCCATAATGGGAAATGTTCCTCTAAATAAACTATTACCGAACAGCTTTCACTACGAAGAATTTATTCAGTTTAATAAGGTTTGAGATTTCGATCCCGAGTCAGACATGTTCAAAGGCCTATGTAGACACATATGTACGTACATACATACGTATTAGGCTTACTTGCGCATAGAAGACATAAAGTTCAAGTGTCAAATGCACATTTCCGCAATTCGAGTGGCTGGCTCCAAGCGCCATCGATATATCTCGACATCGTATCCTTCGCCTGAAGTGAGAGAAGTATCTCCTATCCCTCGGGAATATAGCTTCCGATCGGAGTAACGAGTCCCAGATACATGAGCCATGTCCCGATAAGATGTAAAAAAAAACGAGTACTCCCAAGAACGTAAAAGAATCAAGGGTTAATCCTCCATAACCCGATTCCTTTTATCAAACCAAAAAACAGTGACATAGGATGAAATTAACAAATATTAAACTTCCGATATCCCTGAAGTCCCGAAGCCCTTGATTCCAAAAAGTAATGCGATAATAAAGCGCTACGTTAAGTTTTACCGGAAAAATCAAATAAGACAAGAAGTATCGGTATACTGGCATGTGACTTCAAAGTCACGTGGCGTTACAAAGGCTTAACACGACTGTAGTCCACGTAATTTGATGAACATCTACCTCCTGCGGTACACTTTTTTTTATATTATACCACCGATTAATGCAATACTTTATGATTCATTCGTTCGTTAGATTAATTGCCAAGAACCAAAGTAAGATCGATTTCAAGTAGCGCTGGTTTCATGAACTTCATTTTACAGTGTACCAAAAACAAGTAGTTTTATCAGAGGCTGGAACCAGCAGTTATTAATAAAATTCATTCAGAAAAGTACCTTCGAAATAATTTAAAATCATGGATGATAATTCCTTTAAAAAGTTTAATTGCAGTAATTCATTACGATTCATTTAATAATTCGTTGAAAGGAGCAGTTTCGTAGTAATTTAAAATGCGGATAAAAAAGGAAAAAATAGAAGACTTACTTTGATCCGCAGAGGCTCTTCTAGTCTCCTGAAAAGTGAGATTCCCTCTAGGACCCCTTCTGTCTTGACTGCCTCCCAAACTGCCACGTGGACTTCTGTCTATGTCAAGTCCAATGCTACCCCGAGGACTCCTATTAGGCTCTTCCCCGATGGAGCCTCTCGAGCTTCGATCCATTTCCGGGTGGCCTATACTCCCCCTAGGCGATCGATTGATTTCGTGAGGAACGATCGACCCACGAGGGCTTCGATTGCCCTCCGGACAGATCGAGCCTCTCGGCGATCGATTCGGATCGGGCACGATCGATCCCCTCGGTGATCGATTGGGGTCCGGCACGATCGAGCCTCTGGGGCTTTGATTCAAGCACTCCGAGACTATCGACCCTCTTGGACTTCTGTGAATGACGAGAAAATACAAACTTCAATTATTGTACATCTTTCACTATTTAAATACATGATTAAGTCGTTGAAGTAAAATAGTGGACAATATTTTGGCGCTGCCCGAGTCGAAATTTTTACCCTAATTAGGACCTCCAATTGTTGTTCTTAAATGTATTTTAACACGATATACTTTCATAAATTAAAGGTCCTACTTTAGAAGTGGCAGTTATTTCCATTTCTTCTACTTCTGGGCCTAAAGTAGAACTTAATTCGAATAAAGTAGGAAGCAAAAGGTTGGAAGATAGGCTAAAATTTCGGCTACGGTAATCTAAGCAAAGTTATTAAATCGCTGTTTCCAGGAAGAATTATCGATAAATCCATTTGTTATGCGAATGGATAGGGCCCAAAACGTGTTACGTTGAATCTTATTTCAATTAATTTTACGATAACTTGAGTGAAAAAGAGTCAAAGCGTGTCACATTCCTCATTTCAATTAACTTCGTGTTAATTCAATCCTGAGTTCATTTCTTGAAGAGATAGTTTGATTTTGTTAAGAGCTGTTTAATAAGGTGAAGGCATGAATGTTGCAAAAGCATCTAATGAGGGGTACTACCTGTCCATCTCCAGAGGTGTAATACTGCCCCCTGGAGGACCTTGATTCCTGGATACGACCGGGCAGATGGACCCTCTCGGGCTTCGATCGAACTCGATATTGGCTACGCTTCCTCGCCGACTGCGATTTGTGGAATCCAGGGCCCTAGTTCATTGCAAACAATTACTTTCGTATAGCATTGCTATCAAAATAGAACATAACGATCGGATAATCCGCGTTACTGCGCGCAATCAGACAGCGCGCGTCAACGATATAGTGATTTCAAAGCATCGCTGATTATTTAAACGTTCGTCAACATTTGCCTTCTATCCGAATCAGGCTCCGTATCAATTTTGTCATTCATCCGCATGAAGTGGATGCAAACACGCGAGGCGAAAACATTTTGAAGTCACTCATAAAGGCGGAAATCGAGGTCCTGCCGATACATTTTCCATACGATCATTTTTTCCGAGTCTACGGAAACGAAGCAACGAAGCATGCAATAATTTCCGATAACATCGTTTACGACTTCGGTCCTGAATAATTAACGATTCCGGCGGAAATTCAGGATTCTCCATATCAATTTTGTCATCCATTTCGCATAAAACGGATACAAACACGCGAGACGGAAACATTCCGAAGCCACTCATAAAGGCGTAAATCGAGGCCCTGCCGACACATTTTCCGTGCGATCATTTTTCCGGAGTCTACGGAAAAGAAGCAACGAGGCATGCAATAATTTCCGATAACGACGTTTACGACTTCGACTCTGAATAATTAAGGTGATATGAAAGCGTGATGCATACATACCGAAAAGTCAAAATATTTATCAAACTTTTCTCTAAACTGGATGCACCACATTATCTAAAACTTTAACACGTCATTATGGAGGCTCCGAGAAAGAACGCGCTGCTCGTAAAATTTCTATTTTTTGAAAAAAAAACCTTTTATGGTTCTTGTCCGAGATAAGTACATTTTTTCGAAAAAAGAAATTTCACGAGCAGCGCGTTATTCCGTAGGGCCTCCATAATCATGTGTTAAAGTTTCAGATAATTCGATGTAACCAAGTTTCGAGAAAACTTCGATAAATATTTGTACTTTTTGTTACGTATGTATCAGACTTTCATATCACCTTAACGATTCAGCTTAAATCCAGAAGGCCGAGGGCCAGAATTTCGGCACGGGGTCTGAAACCAGCGGACTGGAAACCTTCCGATATCAATTTCCCTTACAATTCCCAGGACCCTTTTCAAGAATGTCCTCCAGGCTACCGGATTCTCATAACTTGGCGCGTGCGGGAGAAGTTTAATCGAATACGTTTGATAGCGAGTACCTGTCGATGTCCAGCGGGGTGACGCTGCCCCTTTGGATTCTGGACACATCCGGACAGACGGACCCTCTGGGACTGCGATCAAACTCGATGTTGGCGACGCTTCCACGTGGACTGCGACTGGAGGTGTCGGGTACCAAGGAGTGTCTGGGGCTCCTGCTGACTCCATTTTCGGGCATCAGCGAGCTTCTGGATCCGGTGAGAGGGACCAAGCTGTTCCTGGGACTGCGGTTGTACCCGACGTCCGGGACCAGGGAGTTCCTGGGACTCAGAGCCGAGTCCGGCACCAGCGAGTGCCTGGGACTCCTGCAGGAGTCAGGCACCAGACTGTTCCTCGGAGATCGACCAGGATCCGGCACCAGACTGTTCCTGGGACTTCTTCCGGGATCGATGACCAAAGAACCTCTGGGACTTCTGCAGTAGTCGTCGGGAACCAGGGAATTTCGGGGACTACAACCCATCACCTCCGGGACCAGGTTGACTCGGGATGACATGCACTGCTCCGGGTCCGGCAGCATCCTCTGAATGACGGCCTAACGAAGAAAAGAAGTTGTTGTTATCGTTGTCATCTTTTTGGTTCCAGAGTCTTCTTATTGTTAGTCGACTCTCTTTAGGCCAGTTATTTTGTTTAATGTATGTCCGTTTATTTTTGTCCATCCTATGCGGTGTTTCCTGGTGGTCACTCATTCAAGTGCTGCCCACGTTTAACGTTGGTGATATAACGAGAACCAATTATTTTTTTTTTTGCTCGTTCATTATAAGCTTCGAGTCCGCGTAGCACGTTTAACACTAAACCTACCGACCATTTATACCCCATTACAAATACCATTTAAACCGGTCAATTTGACCCGTCGGTGGTAGGTTTAGTGTTTTAACATCTTCAATAGACAAAAGATTAAGTCTAACATTTTTTGAAATACAGTAGCCATAGAAAAATTCGAAGCAGAAGCGTCCCTTCTTGAAAATATGTCGTTTTGGGCCCGGACATAAAAGAGAGAATTTCCCGAAGGGATGGGAAAATTTTTCAAAAGGCTAAAAGAATATCAGATCTTTTTAAAGAAAACTCCCTTCTGCGCCAGGACGAAGTACATTTGCATTCCATATGATCCGTCCACGCAGGACTCGGCTTCGACTCGAAAGAAATATCATTTTATACAGTGCAATATAAAAATAATTCCCGACTTCGATATGATGCGTACGTGCGTTATTGTTAAAGAACATATCCAATGTAACTCTGCCATTTAACGGAAGCTCTGTAATTATGTGAAAAGGACTGGGAAAAATGTAACGGGGAAAGGCAAGGGAGGCGAGAAGGTGCTTCCAAATGTTGGCCTCGATCAGCTCGGATGCTGAGGCTCCTCCTTTCGAGACCTCGCCATTTGGAGGAGGAGCACAAATTGGAAACTTCGTCCTCGCCGAAGGTACTTTGCGACCGTGCCGGAGATGTCCAATGGGAGCAAAAATTAATCGGGATTCTCCAGACTCCGCTGGCACGGAGCTTAATTTGCGAGAGCGTCGTCGCTGCACGGTAGCTCCTCGGTGATCGCGCACCCGTCCCAGAGATATGACCGGAGGGGATGGAAAATGTATTGTTGACCGAGGAAATAAATTCTCCGGGAAATATTACTGCATCGGGCTAGAGGAAGGCTCCGAGATTGCAATAATTAAATCCTGCTTGCGAGGGCATTTTTCCTCGAGGCGGCTTTTGAATTCTCGCGACGCCTCCGCGCGGTATTTACTCCTTCAAACTAAGCCCAGCTCTTATCAACAGGAAACGTTAATTTGTTATACGAAATAAATAACTCGAAGGGAATTCTGATAATCCATATAAGAGAACAGTACGTCTAACTCTGACGCCCTGCAAAGGAAAATAGAAGACTTAAAACAATTCCGACGCCTTATTCTAGTGGAATGAAACAACAGATACGATCATCACCGTTTCCGAGATCGGAGGTACATAATTCTCAGGAAATTTCCCTGGGCCCTAGAAAAGCTCGAAAATTGCAATAATAACTTCCTGCTTGCGAGAACATTTTTCTTAAAGTGACCTGCAAGTGTCGCGACGTCTCCAGGCAATATTCAATCGTCATTAATTGAGAACGTGAATCAACTTTTAGAAATAAATAAGTCGAAGCAAATTCCCCAAGACCAGGATGGGAAAACGGTGTTTCCAGCTTACAAACGTGCATGAACGATACAAAATTACGGTAGAAGGGGATAAACTGTGATTTAAACATCCCGTTCTGGTGGGATCGGGATCCATTATCACCGTTTCCAGGATTTTCCAGAATTTGGTTTCCAGGGGTCCAAGCTCTCCAGAAATTTCCGCCACGCTGGCAGGAAACTCGACGTTTTTTACCGTCCTTAATTACGGCCACTTCAAAATCGAACCTCGTCGACGTGACGAGGTTCGATCATGATTTATGGGGGGAACCAACCTCCTCCGGAGAGTCGTTCTCGGAGTTGAGCTCGATGTTGGGCACGCCGCCCCCGCGCGGCGATCTCTGTCGCTCCATACTGACATTTGGTGAGCTTTGGGTCAACGGAATCGACTTTTCCGGGGCAATCGAGGCGCGTCGATCTCGGATGCTCGATGTCGACGTCGTCCCCGTCGAGCTGGCGGTGGAGCTCGCGACGCTCCGCGACGGACGCCTCCGCCGCGACGATGATCTTCGGTACATCATTTACGGCATCTTCTTTTACCTGAAACCGAAACAATCATTTGACGTCTTGAATTGCAATCGAATCTCAAATTTCAACCAAAAATGCTAACGCATTGAAATATTAAGATTAATGATTTATCATTCTTAACGAGCGTGCTTCTTTAGCGGACACGGGCACATAGTGTCAAACATTACCTGAATCTTTTTTCTTACGAAAAGCAAGTAATAGCTAAATTGTAACAAATATTAAACCTTTTGAGTAACTACCGGGAAATAAAGGGAGGAAATTGAGAGATTGATTAATCAAAAGTATGGATTGGAAAATGCAGGGTACAGCTGGGTTTGTGAAACCACGGGTCTGTGGTTAACGGTTAAAGCAAACATTTATTAAATAAATTAATATGTATAATAGGAATTTTTAAAATTAATACAATAGCGTTATTTAATTGATGAGGTTGGTGGGTGAAGCACGCAATCCTTTTCATTCGTCCAATATGCTTTTCCTACTTATATGTAATCGTGATAGTGACGCGTTTGATAGTCTAATTATTAACCACGTTACATTTTCGAGAATTCATTAAAGAATACTTCCTTTCCCACTGGTAGAATTTATGTATCACTATGAGACATCTTAATACTTTTTCATGAAGTATCAACAAAAGCTCTTCTGGCTTGCACTGTTCAGATATTTCTTGCACGAATGTAATAAAAGAGGAAACACACGGGGAAACGTGTCAGGTATTGAAGACACAATGCTTAGAAGTGCGCCTTGACAAATAATTCCTTGTGGGAATAATGGTCGTCCGTCTTACTTGACTGGGGAGACCCATATTTCGTCGGGAAGCATCGAATCATTTATTTCAGTGGTGGGTGAAAGCTAGGAAATAAAATACACGTAAGAGAAAGAGGGCAGAATGTAAAAAGAGCACCGGCAAGAGTAATGGGGAAATGTACGATGGCAGAGTGCCGGCCATTTCTATCAATTTCTGGAACTAAAATGAGCGATGCGAAGGATCCCACCGAAATTTATTAAATCATGGAAATTGCGAAAAGTTATTTCTACACGAGGAACTCACACCGATCGATCGATGATAACAAGATAATCGACAGCCAAGTTGAAATACCGGTCCTTTAAGAAAAATGTAAAAATACGATAAAACGCAACGCCTGTTTATTGAAAAATTACTTCTTACGCGATAAAAGTTGGAAATACGCGATAAAAATGTAAATAAAACAAATTCAATTAAATGTGTTTAAATCTAAATTTCAAATAAATGCATTAAAATATAAATAATTCGGGCGTCGGCTGGACTATTATTTTAATTGAACGATACCTAAGGGAAGAACGATTTGAGTTAAACACGAATCAATTTGCAAGCTCAAGATTAAATATTTCCAGATGCGTCATTGATTTTACGGCCCATGTAAAAATTGGAATATGGGTGTGGATAAGGCAAAGAAAAATAGATGAAAAAGGCGTCCACGTGGAAAGCGGGTATAGGTAAGTAGAAAAAAAGTATTGACGTCACCAGGCGCATATATTTTGCATTCCGCGACCCACGTAAGCGTAATTCGCCACGTCGGGGTGGCAATTTCGATTGATTGATCAAAATTGATCCCTACCATCCCGCGGAGATAAAATTAGGGATCATTTCGCCCCATCTCGTTAGCTGCTGTAAATCGCTTTCAAGGGGCTCGAGGTAATTTTCCGATACCCCTTGAATAATGTGACGAATAATATTTCAGAGGCAAGCTAAGCAAACATAACACCCAATTGATATCATGATCCACATATTAATAAAAAATAATATTTAGTTAAGCTCGATAATGACTAGACTTGAAACAAAGTCGTGTATTTGAACTGGAGAAGCAATAACGAAAAGTATCCAGAGAACTTTTGCCGCTCCATCTTGCCAGAATTGATCTCGAGAATGTGGAGCCTTCAACAAACTCGAAAGTTTGCCGAAAGCAAAAGGATCGATAGGCAATCGGGCGAGTACAAGGATCGAGTAGGACCGAGCATGGGACATCTTTTATGCATGAACTCCGGGATCGATCAGTGTTTTGCCATCGAAAATACGAGCGTCATCGCAAACACTCCTAGAAACGGCACATTTACCATTCCATAACCATTATGACGGTTTCTCTGTCCGAGAGTAATATCGGGAATTTTCAATTAACGATCCACATCGAAGTGATGATCCATTCGTGTTCGTCGTTGCGGCTCATAGCCACTTCACTTGTCGGTCGAACAAGTTAACGGATGAAACGACAACCAGTAAACGTTTCGCTCTATGTTACGGCGTTTTCGTCGAACGAAAATCGAAACAGGAGTTATTTCATCGATTAACTACAGTTTTTAATTATCTACAAAGAAGTGATCGTTAGAAGGATATCTCTTAGATAGAAAGAATACCTTCACGTATATGTAATTAATGCATGCTTTAAAAGTTTGTATTTAATGATTGTATTTAGTAGTTCATCGTTGATATCAATTTTGGAATTTTTGCTAACTCTAAGGATTAGATTAGTGAGGAGTTTACGCGGGTCAAGTACCGACTGTATTTCAGATTGCATTTTTAACAGATGTTTCGATGTCTAATTTTATGAAGACTGAAAACAATTTTACTTTTATGTGCAGATCCCAAGAGAGCTTTTGAGGATTGTTCCATTGAAATGAAATAAGACAACTTATTTTAATCTTTGGTAATCACGAGATAATTCGTTCGGATCTGTCATCTTGGTCTTTGATCGTTTCACTTGTCAGACAGACAAGTTAACGAAGGAAAACGTCAATCAGTGAATGTTTCATCGTCGATATTGAATCGATCGTTACTTTGAAATCGAAAATGAGCCATTTCGTCTCGACACTTGATATTCCCGTTGAACGCCATTTACAGAATTAATATGCTTGGTATGACATTTGGCAAGCAAAGCAACTCGATCTGCGAATAAACATTTCGCTTGCGTACAGCGGAATTCAATCGCGAGGGAGAATTAATTGTTTTACAACCCGTGTACAAAATGTTTGACAAAAGAATCCATCGGAATATGATTTCAAAAAATAATATTTCAGTTTAACTAACATTTAAAAAAGTATATTCAGTGTCCAAAACTTCTATTCTAACGTGTCTTAAAATTCAATATATTTTGAATTAAACACAAGTTGGTATGTAATGGCATTAGAAAACTTGTTACCTTCCGTTTCCCGAATTCGAATATTTAAAAATGTAGAATTTGACAATTCACCCTATAACGATAATTTTCTTGTACTACATGCAATGTATTTATCTATATGTTTAGTAACAATTAATAGAGATGTTCAGCGTGTTCAGAGCTTACAAATAATTGAGTCCCTGAAGGGAGTAAATGTCAGTTAATGATCGAATTGAATTACCCTCGCAGGTGAGATCGTCTGTCAGACTGGAAGATATGCCTCTATCACTGTTTAAAGTTGAAACTTCGGATCTCTAAACGTATTTTTCACTGTCTGGAAATTATACTTAATTACGCTAATCTGATTAACAAGGATTAATGTGTCGAATTTTTATCAATGAATTCCTTGATTTCTAGAAAAACTTGGCCAAATTTTCTTCCAACTCAGACGCCGTTTAAATACACATTTCATGTATATCGAATCGCTATTTACGGTGTTAGCTTTCCACGATAGTGTTATAAGCTCCGTAATCGTTTCGCAATTTAATTCAAGGTAAAATCCATCCAAGCTATCATCACCATTCATCACCTATGATTGCACAATTAGCGGCCAACGTTGTAGCTAAAAATGTAATCGTACAGCGTCGTTATATTACGCCTCGTTCATCATTCCTTGTTACCCAAGAAACTTCAGAAAGTTACTTCGTCCAGACTGAAGCGTCTTAACCATTTCTATGAGCGCATATACTTGGAAATTGATGCACATGACAGGTTCCGGAGGAATAAGTTCCCGACTTGACTTCGGGAAACTTTCGATGATTTCCAGCCAAAACTGAGGAAGATTCCTCGAGCATGACATCGACTAACGAGCAGCACAATCGCCCAAAAAGACATCTAAAAATGTACATCTATAAAGACGATTATTAACGATGAAAACAATAAATGGATCTTCATCACCCTCTTAAAACTTGCATTACGTGAAAGTAATTATCGCGCGATAGGTAAACACGTGTTCGTACTTTTACAACATTAACGTTTCAATTGAAGGCGACGCTTTTTTTATGAAAAAAAAAATATTATCTCATGTGATAAAAAATACCAATGTTCACTTTACAATTTATCGGAAGTTTTTCGAAGTCGTTCAATCGGAAGAGCTTCCGCAAATTTATACTGTAAATGTGAGTTCCTTGTATTTTGTACCTCGTACTTCGTGAAAAATACGTTTCTAGCTGGAAAAATTGGTCGACGATGCTTCCGGGCTCGTTTATATACGGCAGAGGTGAGAGTTCCTACCCCTGCGTGGACCGACTGATTTAATTAAAGTTCGAAATGTTATCTCTGCAAGTCCTGGCTGATATAACACAGTACTCTTCCATTTGGACGAGCGATCGCATTGACCAACGACCCGTTCGTCACCCAAGCGGAACCGTATCCGTGAATAACAGTCACCGAAGCTCGACTAAATTTCAAAAATTCCATAAAAACTCCCACTTGAAACCATGTCCACTCCACGCCTGCGGATAACATTCCCAGAATTTTGAGCTCGATATCGTTTCTCGCGATAAAAGTACGTCCTAAGTAACCTAAGTGTGACAAATAGACTATTCTAATTCCCTTATTCTAATGATTATGTTTCCATTTACATGAATTGACAAAATTGCCCATGTAAATTTACATACTGAATCATCGGTTATTTTAATGCCACAATAAATTACAGTTAAGTTCTATTGTCTCTGTGAGATCACATTCACCTAAGTTAAAGGGAATTATAATATATTATTTCATTTAACTCGGGTGAAAGTGCATTAATAAGGTAAATATACAATGTCATCTACGTGTATTTATCCACTTTCAAATTTGTCATTTTTCTATTTCATGTAGTTC